TTATATTCAGAAAGAATAAACCAGTTTTATTTAAGAAAGGACTTGTGTCGCTAAAGTTTCGTCGGAACGAATTTACGGAAAATTAACTAACGAACGGAGACGTAACAATATTATTCAACGGAAAATAGCACTAAAATGTTTAATTTGATAACGGCTATGTTTATGTGAAATACTGTTTGATTTTTTTTTCATAAGTGGACAGGACAACAACAGGTAAATAAATATGTTGAAAAGAGATTAATGGTACCTGCGAAAGATGACAGGCTTAGAGTTTCAATTGTTGCTTCCCTCCAGAGAAATAATGCCCCCACATTTGCAACACCCTATACTATTGTTGAAGATGATAAGGACAAAGACAATAAAACTATCCTGAAGGTATTACTGCGTATGATGCAGGTTGACCTGTTGATTTGCCCTCTATACTGAATGAAGCACAAACTTCTGCCAGTGCCTGTATCTCTTGCAGAGAAGAATGATTCACTCTGCACAAGTCAGTAGTGGCAGATATAGTAACATTGTCTGCTCTTAAGTTATCGAACTTCATGATCATTCATCTCGCCTCATCATTGATGGACAAGCACTGGCGATTGCTATAGGAAAGTCTGTCAGTGTAATCACCTTTGGAGATCTGGTAGACACGTTTGTTAGAGCACTACTACAGACCGGCTCTAGGTATCAGGGGTTAGACTTTGTCTTCAACAGATATAGAGAAGAAAACATCAAGTCCACTACCAGGACACGGTGGAACAAAGCATCTCGACAAATCAGACGACTTGTTGAGGGCCATAATGTGCATCTGCCAAAAAACTGGACAAATTTTATGTCTTTGCCAAATAATAAAGTAGCAGACCTTGCACATTTCTTCTCTAAAGAACCGCTTTTTCTAACATCTAACGATAAAGAGATTGTTGTTGCTGAGGGTTTCAGAGAGGAACTTAAAGATAGATCGTCAAAGAGAACCACTGATCTAACTTCTCTGAGATCCACACATGAAGAAGCTGAAGCGAGGCTGGTGCTACATGCTGCCCAGAGTCAAGTTGATACTGTTGTTGTGCCATCTAGAGACACTGATGTTCTCCTGTTTCTAGTATCTCATTTCTCACATGCACGATGTGAACACATGTGGATGATGTCTGGTACATTAAAGAAACAGCGGTATATACCCATTGATGTTTTTTTTAAATAACATACCAAAATATTCAGCAACAGCTTTGCTACCATTACATGCATTAACAGAGTGTGATACCAACTCTTCCATCGCAAATCACTCCAAGCAAACATCATGAAAAGTCTTCAAAGAGCAACATGAATTGCTGAAGGACTTGGTGAGCTCACAGAGAAGACAATCAAATCTGCCGAGACCTTTGTCAGCAGAATATACAAGGTACTCCAAACAGATTCTGTTGATGCACCAAGGTATATATTGTTCTTCAAGACTGGTACACCTGAAGTCATATCACTGACAAGTGATGTACTTCAAATCCATCTGATGCAAGTGCACTATCAGTCCATGATATGGAGAAATGGTACCTTTACCATACCACAGCTCCCTGCACCAGTGAGCATGGGATGGAGACATAGTGATTCGAATCAACAGCCCATACTGATGTCATTGAGTCACATCCCAAACAGCTGCCTGGAAATGCTTTCTTGTTCATGCCAAAAGTAGTGCAGGAGTTCCCATCACAAATGCCGTAAATCAAAATTAAGATTTGCATCGATATGTGCTTGTAAGCAGCAGAGTGATGAGTAAAATCCTTGTATGAATACAATGTAGTTGTTTCAGGCAAGTAATCTGAAATTCCCGGAGGCTGTTTGTACTCACAAGTTTTGTTGATAGAAGCCTTTTTGGGGAGTTTGTGTAAATGACTTCACTAAAAGTGCAGTTAGTGAAAATCAGAGTGAGGTGCGTTATAAGTATAACATCGTAAATGCAAGTTTCATGTTATTGAAAAATGACTTACTGATAGATATTATTGAAACGTGGAATAGTATTGTCATTGTAATCATATTAGCCATTCTTTCTGTAATCATATTTTGTCAAAATTATATGTGCATGATTTATAACAACGTCAAAATAGAGATGATTTTTGTAAAGAAGTTTTCTTTTTGAATGTTATATTTGGAGAAGGCATTAGTATTTTTGGGAATCATCATTGTTTACTTGATTAAAAAATTACAATCCTAGATTTTCTTTTTTAATTCTACGAACAAGGGTATCTCTCACATCACATCCAATTTAATGGATGTAGACATAATGTTGTAATACATTTTATAGACCATAACGAATTATTAAATATAGCACTTGAACATAAAGATTCATCCTTTAAACCATAAATTAAACATTCAGCACATAAAAACCATGATATAAAATAATGTTGACATATACATACTCCCTAAATAACCTCAACAGTTACATATATATAAACATTTTTAGTGGCGTAAAACACGGCAATGTGTCCGAAATCGACAATTTAACGGCCATTTTGTTTTTCTTGAGTTACAGGGTCAAAAAGCTCAAAATTCAACTTGGGAACCATCATATTTGGACTCATCATATTCAAATAATACTGAAACGTCAGGTTCCCAAATTTTACTCCAAAATCCTTCTAACAGTCACATTTCTCAAAAATCCATCTTGTCTATCAGTAAAATATAAATAAAACATTATATCGTGCCATATCGCAGGTATGAAATAATAAATGGTTAAGTCCTTGTCATGTTTCCTCTCGAACGTGCTATAATGTTAGTGACGTATATAAAAGAAAATGCAGTTTGTCTGTATACTTCTGTAAGTCTCACGAAACACGATAAGTAATCCTAGCTACTTTATATTGTTTCGAGAAAATAAGTAGAACAAAATAAAATCAAAAACTGTCAATATAATATAACAATGTTTTGAAAATAACTGAATTAAAAGTTTATTATATACATTCTAATTTTTATGGAAAAGTTAATTATAGAAATATCATTTTGTCTACCTCGTGGTGAACGTTACAACTAACACCCACTGAAGGTTTTTGACTGTGTTTTTGACCTCGTTGACATCTAAGATCAAGCGGAAAACAGTGTGGTGTTTTCGGATGAAGTGATTTAGTCATTTTAGCCACCCATTAAATTTAAGTTGTTTTTATTAGCATAAATCCGTTTTTAAGAAACAATTGGAAAGTTCGGTATGTGAAATTAATTTTTTTTCCTCTATACATTCTGTTTTGACAATTTAAGTTATTTATTTTTAAAATTTAAGTGTTTTGTAACTGGTTCAATGTATGTGTTTTTACTAAGAGTAAGATATCAATTGTGTAAAACTTAAAGAAGTTTGAGAATTAAAAATAAAATTGAAATAGATTGTAAAAACAACGCCAGCTGCTTTATAATGATAGAGGTTACATTTACCAGGTGTAAGTTGAGGGGAATACAGTGTATTTATAGCTGACATTTATAAAGTAACGCACTAAAAATGCCAAATGTTTTCTGAAAAACAAGAGCAATCATGTAAGAACAGGTTTACAGTTTCTTTCATATTGAGCTCCTAAGATGAGTAAGACATTTAGACATGTACTCTGTTTAACTTTTGAACGATTTGAGTTTTTTATTCCTGGTTGTAGTTCATAATGATCTCAGGTTTTAATTTAATAATCAGCAGGTTACACTAAATTACAAATAAAAAGATTCAAGGCAAAGCATCTTGTTTAAAAAGAATTACTGAGATTAAGGGCATTGTGTATATATATATATAAACTAATTTATCTTTATATGATTTTTACTTTTGTTCAGGGCATGTAGAATGTTTTTAATCCAATTCAATTTTTTGGTGACTTACAAATTGCAGAGTTGATCAGCATATACAGACAAAATTCATTAAAGCCCAGTGAATTATGTTCTTTTCATGAATTTGTTCAATTTGAAAGGATTTTTTGAAGTGAATTACACAGTGCTGGAACAATAAGATGTTTTGTTTGGAGACTGTTGAAAGATATTTCATACATTCTTGTCAAAACAAGTAGCAGTGATTGCTTATTGCAAACATGTAAATTAATACAAAATCTTAAAATATTACTACTGGCTAAAATTATAGTTGTAGTGTTATAGTTAACTTCTTGTATTAGACTAAGTGGGGTGCTGCTCAAAATATGAAACTGGATCATACTCATTTTTCTGATATTTAATTTGATGAAAAGTTGAATAATGTAATTTCGTCATGGTTTCATTTCTTGGTAGAATACTACCTACATCAAAATAGCTACTCATTATCAGTAGCAGTATATGTTTAAGTGTTTTAAGTCTTCATTCTTTTCATCACATCTACTTCATCAAAGTAAAAATTGGGAAGAATAATTCCTGGATAATTTGTGTAAATATGTAGCTCCATCAATACATAATCAAATGAGTTAATTAAAGCTGTAAGTATTATGAAGTTGAATTAAAATCCAGATTTTCTCTATAACAGCTAGAATCGATTTTCAAGCATTTTGATATACATATGCATCATGAAAAAAAAACGTTTTTATTTCAAGTGTTTCTCAAAGCTACTTTTCCAGTAGAGCATAGTTGTACTAAAGAAAAGCCTAACTTAGAAATCATAAGAATTGTCAGTATGCCTTTGCTATATTACATATGACTAGTTTCATTTGAATTCCTATACTGAATTAGAAAGTGTTTATAAAAATTAGGAAAATATCTGTTTATGGTTATGTATTGTGTGTAAATGGTATGTATAATATATATATAATAAGTGTCATGTGTCATATGCTAATTATATTTGCCTGTAAATGTATTTGCTGTATATATAATACAAAAAAAATTTTTTTTCTTGATATATGTGTGTTTATTTTAATGTGTATATAGATAAGTTGTATTTTCTATAACAGTATAAATAAATACACTAATGCATTCAAATCCCAAATTAGGATCACATCCAGCTTTCAAGTCTCAGGATACTAATTTAAGGTATTTTTATAACTTAATTTGTGTCTACTGACAAGATAAAGATTAGCATTACATTGCTCTGTAGGGTTTGATAATTAAAAAAAAATGCTAGAGGTTTAATTAAATTAATGTTAATGCAGATTGAAAAAATATTTTAATAATGCAAAAGGAAAAGTATTAATATAGTAATCATAACTGCTGTAAAAAATATCTTGTCATTTAAAACTGTGTGAAGTAACAGTTTGAAAGTCTCATAGCAATGTTGTTCATTTTGTTTTATTCACGTATCATTTTCAGTGTTTTGAAATAATATGTTTTGTATCTAAAAGTTAAAAGTTATCTTTAGTCCGCGAAGAATGTTCTCCTACTTTGAACAGTTGACTGTTGTGTTATTTATAGATTGATTGTTACATTTGATATTTCAGCTGTTACCAACTACCGTCTGTTACCTGTACCTCAAAAGTTGTGACCATCATGGCAGAAACTGTAAGTTTTATTGGCAGGTGATGTGATTTTCAGGAAGAATTGATGTAAATGTAGTGGTAGCTTATATAATATTGTTTGTATACAAGTTTACTTGTTTTTATGAACAGCATAAAAACTTTGGGGGTAAACCAAGGTTTTTACCAGATTTTATGTAGTTATTAGATGTCTTTCTGTCTATGTACATACAGTTACGTATACACATACTTCTAACTTCAAAAAATTGATAGATTACAAAACTATTATGCCTACAGATGTTGAACTTGACTCACAATGGTGATTGACCAAAACTGGTTGAATAAACATATATATAATGTAAAAAAATTGAGTTTCATTAAATTTGATATTCAGAGTATGGGGTAACTGTAAATGCAGTATTAGCAACATACCTGAAAACATATTACAATTTGTAATAAGTGAAATAGGAAATATCCACAGGTTGTACATAAATGCAATCCAACAAAAATGTGTATGGTTTGAGGGGTATATACCACTTCAAAACTTCAGTTACTAACAGTGGACCACATGAACAAATAGAACAGTGTAAATATGGATCACATGAACAAAGAGAACAGTGTAAATGTACATTACATGAATAAATAGAACAGTGTAAACATGAATCATATGAACAAATAGGACAGTGTAAATGTGGATCACATGAACAAGTAGAACAGTGTAAACATGAATCACATGAACAAATAGGACAGTGTAAATGTGGATCACATGAACAAGTAGAACAGTGTAAAATATGGATCACATGAACAAATGAATCAGAAAGCTTTATTTACAAACAGTATAAACGTGAATCATGTTGCTTTAGAATATAGAAACTGAAGTATCCAATAAGTGCTAGAAAATCAGTGAAAATGTTCTTGCTGTTCTAGGACTTGAATCTACAGTTACTTTCCACCCTTCTTAAAGACAAACATGGGAAAAGAACTATTGTAGGTCTATTATTATGGTTGAGGTTTGGACCACGCCATTTTCAGTTCTGATCATTAAACTTGTACAATTGAGAAATTAATACTTTTTTCTAGTCTACAAAGGGTAGTACGAGTGAGAAGGTTAGCAGATCTAGAATTGAGTCTGTTATATATTGCAGTGGTAGAATAATTTTCAGATTTAAAATAAATATGTGAATATTGAGCAGAACTAAATGGAGGTTTTAAAATTTCTTCCATCTCATGTACTAAATTTTATCTTTCTATGTATCTTTAGTCAAGGTATTTGTCATAATTCCTCATCTGAGCAGTGTTTCTATGTCTTAACTTTACTGGTATATGTTATAATTCCTCATCTGAGCAGTGTTTCTGTATCTGTGATTGTCTCCTGTGTCTTAACTTTAACTTTACTGGTATATGTTATAATTCCTCATCTGAACAGTGTTTCTGTATCTGTGATTAAACATATACCAGTAAAGTTAAGACACAGGAGATCAGATGAGGAATTATCAGTGTTTTTGTATCTGTTATTGTCTCCTGTTTCTTAACTTTACTGGTATATGTTACAATTACTCATCTGAACAGTGATTGTCTCCTGTTTCTTAACTTTACTGGTATATGTTATAATTCCTCATCTGAACAGTGTTTCTGTATCTGTGATTGTCTCCTGTGTCTTAACTTTACTGGTATATGTTATAATTCCTTATCTGAACAGTGTTTCTGTATCTGTGATTGTCTCCTGGTATATGTTATAATTCCTCATCTGAGCAGTGTTTCTGTGTCTTAACTTTATTGGGATTTGTCTATCTTTGTATAAGTCAGGTTTTTATACACTATCAATAATTTTCTTTTCTTTTGGATTTTATTTCTGCTTGTCTTATCTAGTCATTTTCTGGCTTATTTTGTGTATTTTGTATGAGAACACCTGTTATTTGAAGGTTGAAGAACATAAAAAATAATTATCAGTTTTGGCAGTCTTGAGTACAACTATCACAGGGTTAAAATGATAAAAGATTTTGTATTTTCCATTGATATGTTTTCTATGAATAAAACTAGTGTATTTATACTTTTCATGGATGAAAAACATTTTTTACCACAGGAACATTTTTCTAAACATTGAAATAGAACACATAGTAACATATGGTAGAGCCAGCTTTTTGATGGACTATATATAACACATGAACATGTGGTAAATGTAAGTTGAAACATATTATATGACTGGTTCATGCTTGTCATGGTGTGCAAGCTTGACTTGGTCTGTCGTGCTGTCATCTTCTTAATCCATTCAACCATGATGCAGGCAGTTATCAAAAACCTTTCCCTCCCATTAGGGAAGACTAAGGAGAAAGAAAGCAGCCATCATCTACCACCAACTCCGTTATCAGATTTATTTGAGGACATTTTGGTACATTTTATTATTTCTAAAGTTTTCAGAAATGTTAATATTTGAACAGATTTTTTTTTTTCATTGTTTCATTTTATGTAGTTTTATTTTTCAAAGTAGTTTTATAAATCACCCTTGAAATAATTTGTGTGGAATGAGTGAGCTTAACACAAATGTTTGTGGTTAGTCAGTGAAAAGGGCAATATTTAGCTAGTTCTTTATGTATTAAATAAGTATCATAATAGTACAGTTGATCTAAGATCCTTTTAGTCTGTTCAATGCTAAACATGGTATGGTATTACTAATGATTCTCTAAATCTCTTTATTTGTTTTCTGTTGCTTTTAATTATCGTTGATGATGATGGTATTTCGAGGTGATGTTTGTTCATTATTTTTAATTTTGTGCTGATTTTTAAGTTGAAATGATGTTTTTCCAGTTGTTTAACCATTCTCGCACGCCAAATGAAACAACAGAATTCAAAGAACTGACTAAACGAGATGCACAAAGTCAGCTTGCCCACGAGCTTAGTAAGCTGCTGCTTACAGCACCTGCACACCAACGACAGGTAAGTTAACCTAGAAGTAATCTTAACTAAACTTTTAAATTAAAAGAAAAAAAAATGAAATGGTCATCTAGCCTTCTTTGGTCAATGGAAAATTATTTTTTGCAAGAAGCAATCAGATGCTCAAATCAGAACTTGAAATTATATATATGTAACCCAGTAACTCGGGTATTTGTCATGTTTTATCGAGTTCAGAAAATAGTTTTCCTTCAATGCTGAATACACACACATAGCAGTAGTTCATGTGTATAGTAAAAACATTTTTCTAGTAATATATGTTTGTGAATATGCAATGTTGTTATCAAGATTTGTTATTTTATTCTAGGTTTATGCTTTATTTGTGTAACTTGTAGTGAAAGAAATTTTAATCTGTGAGACAAACAGAAATTTATAGATGTATTCCTTGTAATGATGTAACACTGACACGCGCACATACATTACAAAATTTATTTTAACCTTTCCAAATTATGTGTGAAAGCTTTTCTGCTCTTGCATGTTATAAACAGTAGGTTCTCTTAGAGCATTCTCATTTAAACATAATCTTAAAGAGTTACCGATGTAAATAAACATTGAGTGTCACCCGTCAAATAGCTTTAGCATTTCTGCTGGTTTGACTCTGTTGATTAGTAAAATAGTAATGTAACATTAGCTTTTGAAGTCCCACATTGTAACTCAGTGTACATTATTATACTAGTGGTATGAACTACATTTTATCGGTTTACTTTTAACTGTATGTATTCTAATTAGTTTTATACCTTTTAATTCAATTTTACTGTTTGTTGGCTGGTCCTAAGTTTGAGAGGCTATGCTGATATACCAGTTTTGTTAAAGTTATTGGAAATGGAGCACCTTTGTTTTTGTGTGTAAGTTATTTTCTAGTTGTATGCAGTATTCCTAAGCTATATGCTTATTTCTTATAAACATTATTAATTTTAAAACATTTGTTACAGCAAACAGAACATATGTTCCAAGGCTTCCAGAAACTATTTCTCAAGTTCTTACAGGATATTGGGCCATCAGTTGAATGGCAGAAAATAGAAACACTACCAGGTGATGCTGTAAGTATTGCTTTGGTTTGTTTCTTCGTTGTTAAGCACAAAGCCTTACAATAGATTATCTGTGCTCTACCAACAGCAAATATTGAAATCAATAAAAAAAAAAGTCTTTAGACTTAATTCTGAGCTGGTGGAAGCATAAGTATTGCAATGTGAATATTACTAAGGTAGGTGAAGAATAATACTTTAGCTGTTCTTAAAACAACTCATTTCTTTAGATCAGGAATTAAATACAGGATGAATGTATATTTATTATGAAAAATAAGTTTTTAAATCTGTAAGTGTACTTCCACAATTTAGGTTAAAAGATTTAACTTAAGATTCTTTCTTCACAAAATTAATTTGATATGCATTTCCGTATTTACTTTTCTTTCCATGAGATATGAACACCAAATATTTTCAAAGTTTGCCATAAATGCGAATGTGCAAAAATTAAAGATAAATATTATGTCTGGTTTTCCTAAACATAAGATATATACTAACTCGTAATTTATAATTTGTATAACTTTTTTTTTAGGTCAAGAACTATTCTGACCTCAAAGAACCTTCTGAAGATGTTCTGAATGAAATGTTAAACAAGCTTGTTGTGATTAAGCTGAATGGAGGACTTGGAACTAGCATGGGGTGTACTGGACCAAAGTCTGTTATCCCTGTTCGAAGTGATTTGACCTTTCTTGATCTAACAGTTCAACAGATTGAAGTATGTATATTTTGATTTCCATCCCTCATAAAAACCTAAGGATTAGTCTTCTTGAATATTTGTTAAGGACAATTCTGTATTCCACTGTGGATTGAAATTAATCCTTTTAATTCCAGGATTATTATTTGGAGTAGCAGTTTATTATAGTTTTGGATGCATATGAAATGATTTAAAATTATTTTGACTGTGTATTTCCCATTAATTTATTATAGTATTATGTTTAACACAGTATCATATACCTAAGCTTGCAAATATAAAATACTCCTGCACATGTTTTTATCCAAATACTTTAATGTAGTAAAAATTGACATGTGAACTAATTTGTTATTATTATGAAGATTGCAAAAAAGTGGGTTTTCATAAATTCATATATGAAATCCAAATTGTTTTATTGAAAATAGCTTTCAACTTGCTTCAGGTGTCTTTTCATCAGGTTTGATTAATTAATTTGATCTTCATCTCCTTTTTTTCATAACATATGAACATATCAAGTATATTTGTAGTTCTATATAAATGAGAATTACAAAAATATGCTTCAAAAACTGAAGATAAATATTGCATCTTGTTGCCCCAAACCTTTTAATAATTTCCCTTCTAGTTGAATATTACCTGCATTACAATAGGATGGCTCCTCAATAATTTGTTCTTGTATCTTGAGAATATGCTATAATGATTTTTGAGCATATTTTTAGTAAAACATTTGAAGTAAACAGGGGATTAAAAATTATTATGAGTGTGTAGTGCTTCTGATGAATTAAAGACAATTACTCCTAGGTTGAGCTACTGCGGAATTCAAGAAGTTTAATACTTGTCAGTAGTTCTGTGCTAAAGATGGTGTAAAAAAACTGTTAACATTATAGGTTTTGTTCATCCAAAATTATTTCAGCTAGACATCTTGATCATAAAAGAAAGTTATCTATAAAAACAAGTTTAAGTTGAAACATAAACAATATAATTTAACACTATAAGAATGCTTGAAAATTTATTGACGAAATATAAAACTTTTCATTAATAAAACATTAGAATTCAAAAAAACAAGCACAACTCATTCTAAAGAAAGGAATTTTATATTTTTTAAAGGCATGTTAGTTGATAATTTTTTGAATTGTGACTTAACTACTTTTTCAACTCGTACATCTTCTGAGTATCATACATTCCCAACAGTTTATTCTTTTAAAATATGTACATGAATTCTGCCCACATGGAAAATATTTCTTATGAAATTAAAAAGTATTATAGGCTCAGAAAAGCAGTTATTCTGTGTTTGGATTGAATTGAAATCAAGGTTTATTTCTAATGATGGTTACTTGTTGATCTGCTACATAAAATTGTGTTGGAAGGTAATTCTGAACACATTATTAGGGAAAATGATTAGATTCACAGTAATACACTGACATAATTTCCACATCATATAGAAGGTTTCAAAACATGGTGTTATGCCTTAAATTTAATGATTGTATACCTTGTGAAGTTGTAATGAGTGATATACAGTTGTGATACAGCTCTTAACCTGATGACCACCAGCTACTAACTTTCTGCGTAGCCAACGTAAGTCTTGGTATATTTTTTTTCCAACAATAAAACTAGTGGATAAAACTGTTTGAAACTTCATAAGAACTTTCATAAATGCACGTAGTTTAAGAAACATAAAGCCTGTTACTTTTGATAATTTAGTTATTTTGCATTATGATCTTTAATATCTTGGAAAATTACATTAGGAAATGGTATTTATAAGAAATGATTACGATATTTATATTCGTTCCAGATTTGAACTTATTACTTTGTATGTTTTAATACATTATTTCTAAAATCCTTAAAAAGTTTTTATCGCCATAAAATACAAATTTTGTCTATTTTTAATTTTTTTTAATAATCACGTACTCTCCTTATGGTTTCAAGTAGTATAAAATAGACTCAAAAATAATATTTCTAAGTAAACCAAAACAATAAACGAGTATTTTTTTTATTTGTAACCAGGATTTCATGTTTATATATATATATATATATATATATATATAACGTAAAACTAATTTAATTTATTCTATAATAGTTATTTTTATTTTACTTAAGTTAAGTTATTTATTATTTACTTATTAGTACACGCCTAACTTTTATTTTTAGTT